ACGGCCTATGATCGCGTTTTGTTGACGCGCGATTGCATGAGCAAAATAGAACAAAACCATTTATTGCAAATTGGACGAATTTAAGAGCTCGTGATGACGCGCGTACCAATACATGCTCGATATTATAAATAACCAATTAGCATCGACTTATACGCTCCGATGTCGAAGCTTAATCAGTTTAACACACATTAATTTTTATCGAATGATACCATCAGAATTAGTTTCTTGATTCAAGTAATTAAAATTAAGTTTGGTCGACGCACTTTGATTGAAGAAAACAATGGGTAGTTTAAAGAATCTAAGTTTGGCCAACGACCCAATGATTCAATCTAATTTGCAATATATATATATGAGTAACTTCTCATATTCGAGTTTAATATCTCGTCCATGTAATCAAGTATAAGGTACTTCTCTGGAAACTTCGATTTATCTAAAAATTTTAATTTAATATTTGATAATATTCAATTACTCACAATTAATAATGGACCATGTAAAGAGAAACTACGAGACCTAAGATACAAGTACAAAGTACTTTGTTGAATTGTAAAAGCTAACTCTTCACTTCTTACAACTTAATATGTTGTATGTTCCTCGTGAAGGGAATACTCATGTCAATATATTTGTTAGATTAGCATCAATCGAGACTACGAATAATAGTTGACTATTTGTTAAGATGCTATTAACCTAAACTATAGACCTGCACGTGATCGCTGCGATTAAGGAAAAGCCAACTAGATAGACAAGATATTACGCTAAGAAAAGATAAAATAGTCTCAATAAACAAGTTAAATATCATCAAGCATGTTATTGCCTAATGAATAATTACTTATATTGTATGTCTTTTAATCAATTATTCATCGTATGTCTAATACATCGGAAAGCTTCAACATGAAGTATTTATTGGGAACACATTGGTGGACAAATTCTCACCTTCAAAGTACTTTAGCAAAAGTTTTATTGGCCAATACCACACCACGAGGATATGATAGCTTATGCCCAAAAAAATAATGTGTAAGAGGTTTGCACAAATATAATATCAACGGAAGTCTCTTTGAGTCCGATCAATTACGGACAATATTTCACTCAATGAGATATGGACATTCTCGGACCTTTTCTACCAACATTGAACCAGTGAAGATTTCTCATCGTTAGACTTAACTATTTTATAAGGTGGATGGAAGCTAAGCCAGTGACATCCATTATTGAAAAGTAGATCAAGAGATTCGTATAGAAGAATATCATTAATCTTATAGAGTTTAACTAAAGTTTAATTCGTTAGCTCATCCTCAGACTAATTATCTTATTAAAATTACCAACTGAACCATTCTCGAATAATTAAAGAAGTAGATCGTTGGAGTAAAAGGTGATCGAGTAGATAAACTACTAAGGTGAGGTCGAACGCGACACCGACCCCTATTCATTTTCGATGAGAGGAGGTCTGACACGAAATCAACCCTTGTTTTTTCCTAAGGTGAGGAGGTTGGGTGCGGCTCTAACCCCTATTCCTTCATGATAAAAGCAAGGTCTACAAACCGTGGGAAGAGTTAAGGTGGACCCCTCCCATGGTTAGCCTTGGCGATGAGCGAAAGTAGGGCTCCTCCTATATTCCCCCTCGATGACGAGCAAAGAAGGAGCCCACTTAGACTCCTCCCATAGCTCGCCATAGCAACGAGTAAAAAGGGAGAAGGGGCAGCTCAATAACGTGGAATATTTATAGCATCTCTCCTGTAGCCCTACGTAGGTCCCTTGGTGATAATATACCTGTTGCCAACATGGATCTCTCGGTGACGAATAAAGGATACACTCAATTCGACTCTTCCCATAGCCCACCTTAGTGATATATAATAGAGGAACATGGATTAGCTTTTGCAATAAGTCAATTGAGAGCAAGCTTCCTCTGCCTAAAGTTTGTCTCTTAGAAAATCAAACAGGTGACCAAAATTCAATCTTCTATATCAGTATACAACAACATAGCTTAGGCAACAATAAGGGTTGCAACATCTCAACTATAGATCGATGATTGACCCATGGCCCAATGAGGTTCTTATGGTATCCCTACTATAGACCAGGCAATGATGTGGGCAAGATCAGGTCAAGACATTATAGGTTACCTCGATGACAAGTAGGGGAGGAGCCCACCTCGACTCCTCCCATAACTCGCTTTGATGAGTAGATCGTCACGACCTTCTTTAAGTGCTTCTAAGAGAACTGAGTTGGAGTCCTAGCTACATCATGTCATGCAACGATGAATGACTTCTCTATAGCAAATCAAACAAGCCAATCATATCCTCTATTATCCAAAAAGGCATCTTGACGGCTCCTCCCCCCCACCTCTATATAGTGCACATGTCGGATAAGCTGATAGTTACACTTTGTGGCCTCTTTAGAAAAGTTCCTAAAGTATATCTTTAGAGAGATAAATGAAAAAAAAATATCATCGATCAATTATCATCCAACACATGACCTTCATGTGATGACCAAGCCAACAAAAGTAAGACAAGATCTACACCCTTGGTTTGCTCGCTTAGACATAAGTTCAAAGCAGAAGATTATAGGCTGCCTCCTCTATTGTCACTCATATGGATAAAAGCATAAAGGTAGACTGTTAGAGGCGATTGAGGCTGTATCCTTACAAAATATTTCTATCCTCTATAATCCCTCTACGACCATATATAAAAATTTACTTTTAGCACAATTATCGAGGGATAATCACTTTTATCACTTGTGATCATACTCACTTATCTTAGATTATTGACTTAGACATAAGAGGGATTGGGTCAAGAAAGCTCTCTTGATCTCAATCTCCATACAAGTGATACTTCATGAGTTTGACGTTTCAAACATCCCTATATACATATATCAGAACCTTATCGAATCTTCTTATAACACCTAATAAAAATTTAATATTTTTTACTTAATTTGAGTCAGTTTATCATTTTAGATTAGAAATATGTGTATACTAATCGAAATTTTGATCAAGCCAAACCATCAAAGAATCTGAGGTGCAATTGATGTAAATGTCACCGAACTCCACATATATATATATATTACTGTTGATGTTGTCGGGTGTCATTCTCGAACCGGCACTCAGGTCCCTCTCTTGATCTAGATTACTTCGTCTCAAACTTTCATTACTTGTTCTTATAATTCTCAAGAATCTCATGTGTTCATGTTGGCAGCAATTCTGCCTTTATTATCTTTCATATAATTATCGTTCTAGTTGTTGAAAGAGACGATCGGAGGCTGATTAAGTTGAGCATATAGATATGCGTTTTCTATTTCAGTTGTGCTGTCTAGTCTTGCAAAGTTACATTCTGCATCCAAATTTGTGGCTTCAAAAGTTTACGTGCATAAACCGGGGAAGACATGTTGATTAAAGAAATTTGATAGGTAGATAACATCATTTAATCCTTTGGTGAGGGTTTTTAACCATCCAGTTATCTATTTAAACCTTTATTTACATGTTCTAAGTATCGAGTATCATTCTGCCCACCATTGTATGTTTACCTACCTTCTGCACTTGCAGCTGCAATATACATTGTGTTCTATCAGGTGATACAGCATCTTTTGATTCATCACGGAACTCAAATATGCCTTCATGCACAACACGTAACTTTTCATTTTTTGATGGTTATTTCCTTTCTGTCACGGCTAACGAGGAAATCAAATACATATTCTAAGAGTTCTTTTATTTTTTTCTATTTCAAATTTTATGTTAGCAAATGGTTATATATATTCTATATAATAAAGAAGTGATATGTTTAGTGATGGATGATCTCATGAATCATGGTTTAAGGAGATTCTCGTTAGCAGGTTTTATTTTATGGGTACGAGGGGACAAGCGTGCAATCCAACAATTATTCTCACTATTATCCTGCGTGTTTCTTGGACCATGCTGTTTCATCGATTCTGGTTTCTGTGACTTCCTTGTCGAAGAGCTGTCTTTTGCAGGTCCTCCCAGATGTCCCACCTGATATGGTAGATGCTACAAGCCGAGGGGGGAGAGAGTTCAGAGTTCATCGAGCCTGGCCGCTGGGAAAACCCCGTCAGAAGCCATCCAAAAAGCAGCAGCAATTCATTGGGTACAGATTCAGGGATCACAAGGGCACAGAAACCCAAAGATATTGATGCCCTCGTCGACCCGACTACATCGCTTCAAAGTCTGGCTCAACACCTCTTCGATCATCATCATGATCATGGCGGAAAGAAAAAAGAACCGGCGAGGGGACAACTTTCGACGCATAGTTTAATTTACATGGTACGGCAGATGATTTATCCGGCAGTCAAAGGGTGTGTCCGCATGCTGTCTCTGAGCTTCTTGTGCAGTCGGAGGGAATCTCAATTTCCTGGTACGGCTCAAAGCCAAAAGCCTAATGCACCTCAATCTCTGCTGCTGCTGCTGCTGCTGCAGGAGGTCTGGATTGACAAGATCAATCAAGACTACTTTTATCGAGAAGCAATTTGTCGATCCGTGCACAATTCAGCCAGGTGTGCATAAAATGCATGCCCTTACGTACGCCTCATCTCTGTGAGCAGCAGTGTGGTATTAATTCTCAGCACGAGCTGGTCTGATCGCAATGAGATGGTGTGCCGACCCGTCGTTAAAGTGGTCCACGAGCACAATGTTAGACCCCCGATGGAAGACTGGAAGATCCGTGCAATCGATTGATTGATTGTTTGTTTGTGTTTGATGTTGAATCTGACTGCAGCTTGGTTTGAGGACGGACCCAAATCAATCAAAGTTGATGGAATGATGGGCCGGGTCAGACCAGCCCAGGCAAACCAAACAACAGGGGGGCCGCTCGATCGGACATGCAATGTGGCGGGTCAAGTCTCGGCAGTCTCTTCTCCAGCGGATATATCTTGGCTCCACGTGCATCTGCGACCGCCGGCACGAGTTCCCAAGCCGTCATACTATTAATTAACACGTCCCTCGTGCCCATCCCTTCCTCCCTCCTGTAATCGATCCGTCCTTCCCTGTTGTTGCTCTCTCTCTCTCTCTCTGTGGCTGGTATGCTTCGCCGTCCACACACAATCTGTGAGTAACAAGGGCATTGCAGGTGGACCTCGGGTAGGCAAAGGTTAAACCGGCGCGTACGGAGGACGACCGGGATTTGTCTCTCTCTCCTTCTCTGTCTGTGGTTAAGGAGGTGATCCAAGAGAGACAGGAACTGCACTGGAGGAAGAAGAGGAGGATGGGAGACAGAGGGATGGTGGGAGTAGCGGACGACATGGGGGAGGGCATGCAGTGCGTGGACCACCCTTACCGTAGTAACCCAGGCGGGGTATGCGGCTTCTGCCTGCAGGAGAAGCTGGGCAAGCTGGTGTCCTCCTCCAAGTCCAGCCCCTTCTCCCCGCTCCAGCCCCCGCCGTCCTCCTCTTCCTCACCCACGTCCTTCCGCTCTGACGGTGGTGTTTCTGGCGGAGGGCTCGGGCTCGGACTGGGACTTGGACTCACCTCCCGTCCGTCACGTACCGGTGCCGCCTCTGGTGGCCGTAGGACCAGGTTCCCCTTTCTGGCCGCCAGCCACAGCTACAAGAAGAAGAAGAGCAGCGGCGGGAGTGGTGGCTACGGAAACGGCGCAAGGAACGTGATGGCTTCGGTCTCCACCGCAGCTGGCATCACGGATTCTGGCTCTGCGGCGAACGACAGCGGCATCGTTCTAAAGCGGAGCAAATCTACAGCACCGAGAACGGCTGGAACCCTTGCGCAGGGTCGTGGTGGTGGCGGCATTGGAGACCCCGCCGTGGCAGAGAGTCCTCGAAAGAAGAGCTTCTGGTCTTTCCTCTACCTCTCCTCTGCCTTTTCCGCCTCGAGCTCCTCTTCTGCGGTCCACAGCAGCAATATCAACAGGCGAAAATCTACCTCATCGTCGTCGGGCGAAGGATGCGATAAAGACGTCAACATGAAGCTGCATCTGCAGCGGCAAGTGAATGCATCAGATAAATTGGTGGCCAAGGAAGAAGCGGCGACCGCCGCCCCCGAGCAAGGGGAAAACGGGGTGAAGGAGGCGGAGAGCCCAAACGCTAGACAGGCGGCAGCGTCATCGTTCGGAAGGAAGGTGGCCAGATCCAGATCGGTGGGCTGCGGCAGCAGGAGCTTCTCGGGAGACTTTCTGGAGCGCATCTCCACCGGGTTCGGTGATTGCACCCTCAGGAGAGTGGAGTCCCAGCGCGAGGCCAAGCCCAACATCGGCCTCCACCTAAATCACGACAATGACGGAGAGCAGCGGCAGCCGAGGATGAAGGTGCGGTTCAAGTGCGGAGGGCTGTTCGGTGGTTTCGGGACGATGTACGCGTACTGGTTGTCGGCGGCCGCGGCCGAGGACGACTTGGACGACAGCAGCAGCAGCAGGACCTCGGCCGCAACCCCGGCTCCCTCCGCCACCGCTGCTGCACGAGGCCGAACTAGAAGCTGGAGCTTAGCCTTTGCGAGTCCAATGAGAGCCTTCAGGCCATATTCCTCCTCTAAGCCCCTCTACGCCATCCATAACGCTGCTTCAGCTGCGCCGGCGACCAACATCATTTCCTCGATCAACGGCAGCAACGGCGGCAAAGGGCACAAACTCCACAGCAATCCATCGTTTCTAGCTGTCGAAAGCTAACACACAGACACACCCCTATCGTAGTCTTCTCTTCAGCAGCAGCGTGCTTGTCTATTATCACAATCTGCCCTTGAACTCGATCTTTTGATATCGTGTTAATCACATTCTACTTCTCCGTCGATCGCCTCTGAAACTATGTTATATTTTGGTGAAATATGGCGACATTATGAGGTTGTTTTTGTTGGAAATAGTGAGCGTCGTTGCGGTGGATCTTTCGATGCTCGCCTGCAAGCGTTAATAGCTTCCCGTGTCCGATCCTGTTGTCCGCTGGCGAATCAAAATCTTTGCCTTTGTGGCATCGAAGGCCACTGCATCGTTTCGTTTCAGGGGCCGCCGCCGCGGTCACCCTGCGCTCGACAACGCGAGCGTGGTTCTTCTCTTATGCTTGACTGCGTGATGGATCGCCACTGTTCTTTTCGTGAATGGATCGACGCGCTTGTTGGGGGTTCGCTTGGAGAACAATGTCGTGCAGATTTGCGCAGCAAATCGATTCCACTAAGCTTATATTTGCAGCGGTGGTGTGGGATTTATATTAATCGGTCTATGATAGTTAGATCCAACCAAGCTGAGCTGCGCCCGTGTGGGTCTCTACTGGTACTCCATACCTCTGTTCATCGAGGATGCCATGTGTCTTAGCTTCCACAACTCCAGGTTTGACTGAAGCAACGCGACCATGTTTCGAAACATTTGATTACTAATAATTATAATCAAATAGATTTTTTTATTAAAAAAATAAAGTATTTATAAAAATTATAAAATCATACTTGATGAGAATTTAATAAATCAACATATGAAGCTTAACAAAATATGTTCGTGATAAAATCTAAAGATAGAGATGTAACCTTAAGAGAGTGGTGATAGTAAATTAATTTTTACTTAAAAATATATTTTAAATATTGATAAAATTATAAAAAATTGAAAAAAATTGAAAAAAAAATAAAAGAACAAAAAAAATCTTCAATTAGTATGATAAAATATAAAGCTTATGATAATTTTTATAATAAATTAGTTACCAAAGATACCGAAGAAAAAATATATTGAATTGTTAAAGCTAGGAAAAGAAAGTGTAAGGAGCTAGGTAATTTTAGATGCATTAAATACAAAGATCAAAAAATAGTTGTTAATGATAATAAGATTAAAGAAAGATAAAAAATATTTTTATAAAATATTTAATAAATATTCCACACATGACTTAGATTTAACGATAAATAATAATGATAGATTTAATAATCACATTTTTATTCACAAAATTAGAGTTAATGAAGTAAAAAAAATATTAAAATGATGAAAATAACTAAGAGTGAAGCCTGATGGTATTCCTATTAAGGTTTGAAAAAGTTAAAGGAACAAGCGACTATATTTGTTAACTAGTCTATTTAACAAAATCATAAAATTTAGAAAGATGCATGAAGAATGAACAAAGAGAATTTTAGTGTAAATTTACAAAAATAAGAATGACATACAAACTTGTTTAAATTATATAGAAAATAAAATCATAAGTCATACTATAAAATATTGGAAAAAAATTATCAAAAATAAAATAAGATTCGAAACAAATATCTTTGAAGGTCGACTTAGTTTTATACTTAAAAGATTAACCACATAAGTTATTTTATTTATTAAAATAATTAATAAAAAAGTATAGAGAGAAAAATTGATATATTATTTTTATTGAATTAGAGGAAGTGTCATAGTGTATCCACTAATTATATTACTGTTATTAAATATATGTATGACAATATAACTATTAATATTAGAACTATATGAAGCATGTGGAGTGAGTTTTTTATTAGCATATAATTATATCAAGGATCTACATTAAGTATTTATATATTCACATTGATAATAGATAAATTTACTAGACACTTATATAATATACCTCTTTGGTGTATGTTATTTACCGATGATATTGTTTTAGTTGATAAGAGTTTAAGTAAAATTAATTATAAATTTAAGCTATGGAGTTAAGCCTCAGAAATTAAAGGTTCTATATTAAATTTGATTAAGACTAAATTTATAAAATATAATTTAATATTTTAAAAATAAAAAATAAGATAATATAATTAGATTGGATGAACAAAAGGCCCCGTTAAGTAAATGTTCTATGTATCTTGAATCAGTTGTTTAATAAGATGAAGATATCGATGAATATCTTATAGTAAAAATAGAATGTTAAAATAACGAATGTAAAAAAATAAATAAAATTATTAGGAAAAATAAAAAATATTTTTATTTATAAATAATTAGGTATTGTTTATAGTATTATTAGGAAAGATGAAAGAAGATTAATAAAAAATTAATAGAAACTATAAATAAAAATTCAAGTATTCTAAATTTAATTAAATATATAACTTTTTATAAATTTAAATGATGATAAAAAAAATTATATAGTCGAACTCATATAATTAAAACTAATGATTTTATTATTATTATCATCCTATAGATTCATATGATCGATCTCAATTAATTGAGATTTATAATTTTAATATTATCATCGTCTATCTTTGATTTAGTTCTGCCAGCCCATCTCTCCGCCATCCCCCCTGCCGACTAAATATTTAGGGAGGGAGATGAAGAGAGAGAGAGAGAGAGAGAGAGAGGAACAAGGAAAGGACGAACGCAAAAGAGGCGGCCTCGGGTGGCGTGTGACGGAACGTGAGAAGAGTGCGTGAACAGCCTCCGTAGCGAAATAGTATCATAGGGATGGGATAGTCGGGGACAGCGGGCAGTCTTCCGTCCACTTCACATGGCCCCCTATCGAAGGGGCAGCGCCTCCTGCTTCAATGTATGAGGCCATGGCAGGGAGCGACTGCGCCGTATGCGAGCCTTCCTGCCTCACGTCGTGTCGATTCGATCTTAAAATAGCAATGAGATTAATGAACCACCTCATCCTTGGCAGCAGGACCACCACGAAAAGAGGAGAAAGAATCGATGAGAATGACGATGAAGTCTGGATATAGGTCGATCCAGATCAGATTTCCACAAACGAATGGTAACGGCGATGATCGGATCAATCAGATTCGATTCAAGTTCACGTCCATTAAAAAGCCTAATATATATAGTCAAAAGATTAAGGGGTACTCGAATATTTTCTAAATGATGGATTTATAATGAATATTAAGGTCGAATGAGGTTTTTGACATTATTTATTCGACACGACACTCTAATTAATGTGATAAAAAGTTTTTAATAAGTAATCACTCACCTTAATTACTTATTATTATACTAAGAAGGCCTAATAGACTTTTTATAGTAGATTTAATATGAGAAGAATATTTTGAGATACGAATGAAATTGATAGCTAAAATTCAAGTATAACCTAACAGATGGTGTTCTCGCAGAAGATACAAAAGCTTAAATCTCTATTCTACATACATCTTAACATGTATTCATGTAACTATGCATTCTCAAATAATGTCTCAAAAATATTGCAGCCACAAACACTTGCTTTCCATCATACCCAACATTTTTGAGGTCTTGTTAATGTGGTCAAGCCACTTAAACAACAATGATAGATTCAAAGTAAAAGTAGTTTTGCCCTCAGAGCTTCCACCAAAACCTTTGTTACCAAAATTTCACATCACTGCTGCCTTTTACACATTTTCATCTGATTCCTCTTTTTGCAGCAAGTCATGGGTGCATTCCCTTGGGTCAATCACAACAATGACAGATTCAAAGACCAAATACCTTTACATGCAGATCTTCCATCAAAGCTTTGTTACCATTTTTCCTATCTTGTTTTCTCCCTTCATTCTCTTCTACTGTTTTTGTAGCAACCGAGGCTACTAACATATCCTAAAATGGTTTTTAAAACCAGATCAAAATGATATCAGTATACCTAGCAACATACCAAGAATCAATCGTTGTCGACCTATATTACCTAGCATCAGTCCATGTTCAAAGTATTTGAAATCCTGATTCCTCTGGTTCTCTTACCAGATCAGACTCCGTCGACCTAGCATATGTTTAATACTTGTCTATACAACTTATCTGTTAACTCCAGTACCAAAATAAGAAATGTAACTTATGGATAGATACTTGAAAGAACATGGCAACAGATGTGCAGATTCAGATATAAAGAACAGGTTTTCAAAAATAAATTGGGCTGGAAGTCAGTACCCTACCAGAAAGTTGAAGAGCACCCACAAGGCTCCCACCCTGATCTTCATGTAGGGGAGGATTGTAGAGCACCTCTTGCTGAAACTTGGGCACCGGGAGCATTCATTATTAGCTCACCAGGATTTCCTCCATCTGCAATGCAGCTTGTCTGTGGTCCTCTCCGCATAGTTGACTAACCAGCAAATAGCATACTGAAGTTTCAAGGGAGTAGCCAATTTTATACACAGCATCCAGCACCAATAATGCATCATCCACTCTGAAGCTATTGCTGAGGCATTCTAATAACCTGTTAATGGTGTCTCTTTGTGGCTTGAGATTATTCTCCAACATGTTTACCAACCATGCCATGCCTGCTTCAGCCTTGCCGACCCTGCAGAATCCATTAATAATATAGTCATTTGTACGAACCAAAGGCTCCAAACCCTTTTCTTTCATGCATCTCATCAGCTCCATTGCACCAAGCACATTCCCCTCATTGCATAGTGCCTCGATCAATGGTGTGTATGTTGAAACACTGGGCTGCAGTCCAACCAATAACAGTGTCTCATACAGTTTCAGGGCTTCGGCAGTCCTGCCTTCCTTGCAGAGACCCTGAATCAGTGTGTTGTAGGTGATCACATCGTGCTCGATTCCTTTAGTTGGCATTTCCTCAAACATGTCAACTGCTTCTCCCACCCTCCCGTGCAAGCACAATCCGGCAATCAAGGTGTTGCAGCTCACTGTGCTCTCCCTGAATCCACTTCTGCACATCTCCTGGTACAATTCCTGAGCCTTACTGAGGTCACCTGCCTTGCAATAGCCATTGATGATGACATTGTATGCATATTCATTAGGCTTGGTCCCCTTTGCTACCATCTCCGACCACAGGTTCCACGCATCGGTGGTCCTACCCATCTTGCATAAACCATCGATCATTGTTGTGTAGGTAACCAGATCAGGAGCATAACCTCTCAGCTTGAGATTGTTGAAGATGTGGAAGCCCTCATCGGCCTTGCCATTTTCACATAAGCCGTGAATTATGGACTGGTAAGTGAATATGTCAGGCATGCAGCCAACTGCTATCATCAGG